GTTTTTCAAGGTGCCAACTTTCAAAAACTATTTAACAAGGAGAATGAACCACTTCAAAACTTAAAAGATCAAAACAGAATGCACAGAAATATGTAAAAAAATTCTTATGAGAAGTTTGTTATGTATAATTACTAATCCAGAGTAAACAGAAGAAAAACAACTCTAAATTGTTGACTTTAAGATTATAAAGTGTACTACTACTAATAATACCTAATTTGTTCTAAGTTTTAAATCCCAAGCTAATTTGTTCTGAGCTAATATTGTTCTAAGAGCTTTAAAAATGTCCACTGACAACAGTGGTTCTCATATTTTTGGGTTTTAGAACTCCTTTTGCATTCTTAAAAATGGTAAGAAATCCTCAGAAAGCTTTTCCTTATGTGAGTTGTATTTATCTATATTTGCCATAAAAGAAATTAAACCTCAAAAAATTTTAAAATATTCACTTAGAAATCTTTTTAAAATACTTTAAATTTTTCTTTCAGAAATAACAAATAAATCCATTACAAGTGTAGGTCAATAACATAATTTTATGAAAAATAACTATATTTTCCACAAGAACAAATTTAATTAGAAGAATGGCACCATTTTACATGTTTGCAAATCTCTGTAATGTCTGGCTTAACAGAAGACAGCTGGATTCTCCTATCTGGTTTGGCAACCAATCTGTTGCAATATCACACATCATGTAACTTTTCAAAAACTCCAATATATACTTGTGAAAAAATGAGAATGAAAATAGCAAATACTGCCTTAGATTTATTGTAAAAAATAGTTTTGACTTCTCAGACCCCTGAAAGGAGGTGAAGGCGAAAAGTAAGTTACTTAGAGAACCAGGAGTGGAGCCCAAGGGGTCTGATTCTGGACCCCGGCGGGGGGGGGGGGTGCCCCTGGGAGCCAGGAGGAGAGCAGCAAGGAACCCTTTCATGATGTTTTACGTAGTGGTACAGTTTCAAATTCAATCTTTCAATTTGTGCAAAGCAGAGGTTGGGAGAAGGGAGAGTAACAGCCACAAAATTCATCTGTAAAGGGGCCCAGGTCTGTCCTACAAGGAAAATGGCGTCTTACCTACAGGGTAGGGGAGACACAGCCAAACGTGCTGGAAGCCCCTCTAGGAACAGCTCTCTCCTGCCCAAACCAAGCCATTATCTATGTCTCTGGACTCCCCACTCCATCCAACGCTTCTCTACACCACTTGAATTCTGCCTTCAATTCTTTTTTTTTTTTCCAGTTTTCTTGAGAAAAAAATCAACATATATCGATTGCTGTGTAATTTTAAGGCATACAGCATGATGGTTTGATTTATGTAGGTTGGGAGATGATGACCACAAGAGGTTCAACTAACATTCATCTGCTTATACAGACACAATTAAAAAATAAGTAAGGGAAAAAAAGGGTCTCCTTGTGATGAGAACTCTTAGGATTTACTTTCCTCGCAGCTTCCCTATAAACCATACAGCGGCGTTAGGTGTACTCATCCTGTTGTACATTACATCCCTAGTACTCACCTTGTAACTAGACGTTTGCATCTTTTAACCAGCTCCCTCCAATTCCCCCTCCCCATCCTCCACGCCCAGTAACCACAAGTCCCATTTCTTCTTCTGAGTTTGTTTTTTTGATGGTTTGTATTTAGATTCCACATACATGTGAAATCATAGGTTGTTTGTCTTTCTCTGACTTATTTCACTTAGCATATCCCTCAGGATTCAACCATGTTGTCACAAATGGCAGGATTTCCTCATTTTTATGGCTGAATAATGTGTGTGTGTGTGTGTGTGTGTGTGTGTGTGTGTGTGTGTGTGTACACCACAACTTCCTTATCCATTCATCTGTCAATGAACAATTGGGTTGTTTCTATGTCTTATTTTTTCTCAATTAAATGTTTTTCAATTAATTAAAATGTTTAAAAAGAAGAGTAATAAAGAGCCTAGTTCTATCAGATACTAAAACACATTTTAAATTTACAGCAATTAGGGGCACCTGGGTGGCTCAGTTGGTTGAGCGTCTGCCTTTGGCTCAGGTCATGATCTCAAGGTTCTGGGATCAGCCCCACATGCTCAAGGAGGGCATCTGCTTCTCCTTCTCCCTCTCCCTGCTGCTCCCCCTGCTTGTGCTCTCTCTCTCTCTAATAAATAATAAAATCTTTAAAAAAAATAAATTTACAGCAATTAGTATTGGACTGACCTAGCAGAAGATTTAAAGGTAAAGTGATAGATCAGAATACATAGCCCAAATTAGATTCAACTATAGAAAATGCAGTATATTATAAAGTAGGTGTAACAATTCATGATGTAAATAAAATAAACTGTTTAGCAATTTGGAGGGGGAAAAGGTCTATATTTTGACCTTCACTTTTAATCACACGCCAAAATAAATTCTAGCTAGATTAACTGTTTCTACAAGAGTGGGCGGAGGCTGGGAAAGGCAGGACCAGATCTCATTCATCACTGCGCTCCCGGGGGGCTCGTCCGGGGCTGCTGGGCAGCTGCCCAAACACAGGGAACTACCTCGAGCTCCGACTCTGCTGCTAGCCCCTTGTGCCCTCTTGGGCAAGTCACTTTGCTCCTCCGTCCCATAAAGTGCGCACAGTAATGACCCCAGCCGCCCGAGAACACCCATTACGAGCTTCAGAGTACTATACAAATTAACAGAAGGAATGAAGACTAGGAAGCTCCATCCATCCCTGTTGCTATGATTCGAATATGCGTAGCATTAATATTTTAGAAAAATAATGCCAATTTTCTTTGTAATCTTCTTTACTTAATTTAAGTAGACAATTTAGGTTGTAAAAATATACACTTTCCCTTGGGGTCTCAGGAAAATTTTTTAAATTTTGAATGGGAAAAAGATGCATCCCATAAGCATGTCTATTTTTCCTGAATTAGCACTTTTACCCAAAAAAGACCTGGCATCAGTGCTCTAAGAGAGCTGGGAGGTTTTCTTTTCACTGCTTCTTTCATGGGGCCCAAAGGCAGGAGACAGGTCCAGGAGGTCCGCGAAGGGTGAGGAGGGGCGGGGGAAGGGGGGAGCGGGGCACGGCAGAAGACTTAGAATTTTAAAACCCTGAAATGACCTTGAGCAAGCTATTTACCTTTTCTTCATTTCCAGAAACTGGAGATGCCAACTCTTACCATACAAATAAAAAGACTAAGATGAGGTCATACACACGAGCGCCCTGCACCCAATTACAGGTCTTTTGTCGGCCAGCAAGCCTTGAGTAAATGCTGGCTTCTCTTCTCTGCTGCCCTTCTCTCTCATAAGCTCTCCTGGTCCTCCTCCCACTTTCCCTGGCCTCTCTCACAGTCCCTCTCTCCCCTGCCCCCAGGAGAGCTCTGCAGCTTCAGTGAGGGGTCTGAGGCAAAGGCCATCCAGGGATTTGGTCGCGCATGTCAAATGCTCTCCACCCCATCCCAAACCCTATCACGGCCACCACCGCCCCCTCCTCCCCTCCGCCCGGTCATTTTCGTCCTCAGGTACTCGCACTCCGCGGTCGCTCTCTCAGCCCGCACCAGTGCCTGAGCGCCTGGAGCCCCGCACATGACCCGCACACTTCCTTGGCAATAGCTGAGCCAGGGCTCACAAAGGGCCGACTACAGTGATGGTTCTGGAACGTAATTCTCAACCTTATCCCCTGCTGTAAGGCCCATAAACACAGACGAGGTATAAAACTCAGCTTTATAAGGTGCTACTATAAAGTAATCAACTGGACTGCACCTCTCAGTCTCCTCTCCTGCAATCATACCTTGTGCCTCCAGGTGTAAGAAACTAAACAACATGTATAGTGACAATATGTCACAAATAAAAGAAAATTGTATACTGTTCCTCCAGTTTAAAGCACTTAGGTCCTTGACCAGTCCTGGAAGTGAGGGCACCAAACTGTCCCTCTCCAGTTCCACTCCGTCTCTTCCCACAGCCCTGCTGGCCTCTGTGTACTAGGCTCTGAGTTTTGAGACTGTAATCCCACCAAATGTTCCTCATTCAGCTTGCTGCTCTTCTGGAAGAACCGTTTCATGGCTGCTCCGTGGATCCCACAACTTCTGTTCTTCTCCTGGATCATCTCCCTCTGCCTTTTTTTTTTCTTTCTGGTCTCGAACTATTCCATCCCCTTTACTCCATTCCTGATCTACCAGTATTCATGTCTCTCTCTCATCCTTTATGTTCTTTTATTTGGGTTCATTTTGTTATTTTACTTGGGGAGTGCATCATCATTTAAGCATAATTAATCTTTCTAATTCATGGCTTGATAATACATACTTATTTATTTTATCTTAATTTTTAAAGATTTATTTATTTATTTGAGAGAAAGAGAGCACAAGTGGGAGGGGCAGAGGGAGAAGGAAAGAATCTCAAGCAGACTCCACACTAAGCACAGAGCCCAGCACGGAGCTCAGTCTCACAACCCTGAGATCACAGCCTGAGCTGAAACCAAGAGTCTGAAGTTTAACCAACTGCACCATCCAGGTGCCCTATACTCATTTTAAAAAGAAATTCTGCTCATTCACTCAACAATTATTTACTGAGCACACATAATTATTTACTAAGTCTCTAGCACTAATGCTCCAGCAGAGTTCACCTCCCTCACAGAACGTACAGTCTACAGGTTGAAATGGCCAATGTGGATATCCTTTTCACCAGACTATAAAGAGTAAGAAACAGTATTGATCTGAAGCAATCATAGGAAAATAAAAAATTTAAATAGCATAATAAGGGGCACCTCGGTGGCTCAGTCGGTTAAAGGTCCAACTCTTGGTTTCAGCTCAGGTCATGATCTCATGGGTCGAGGGATCAAGCCCCACGTTGGGCACCACATTCAGCAGGGAGTCTGCTTGAACGTTCTCTCCTCTGCCCCTTCCCCTACTCACATGCCCCCACACACTCTCTCTCTCAAATAAATAGATATATAGCATAATAAATCCAAGGACTGAAAAACAGACAAGAGCCCTCTTCTACCGTAAGAGTTATATCAGTAATTTAGAATTAGAACAAAGAAAACATTGCCAAACCTCACATCCACTGTATTATTCGCCTCATGGTCAAACACTTCAAAAGCCTCCTTGATTTTTTTGTGATATTCTGCTACGGCTATCTCTGCAAAAGACAAAGTAAATAAAAAGTGTTTTACTTTACCTTTGAATTCAAAACAAAAATTTCAACCACTAAGCTAGAAGTTCTCAATGAGGAAGAGCATGCAGAACTCTTTCCTAATCTTAGCATCATGTAGCATGTTCATCTTCGTCTAGAGATAGCAAGGAATGGACAGACTCTCGTTTCCTGAGGCACGAGACACACATAACACAGTACCAGAGGTGCACTACTCTTGAGTACACAGTGCCATGGATTTCGTGTGTATGTAGTCATGAGGCCACCACGCAGATCAAGGTATAGAATGCTTCCAACACAGCCTATCTTTTGTGGCAAGTAGTCTGGGCAGAGTCCCAGCCCAAGAGGCAGAAGGAGTCCAGCTCTACGGATAGAGTGTGGCTCACTGGTGTGCCTGCCTGTGCACTTCAGGAGGGCTGAAGTTGGGGAGTGGGAAGCATGCAAAAGCAACACAAGACACTCTCTCAAAGGGCTTTCAAACTAGTTTTGAGACTAAGACTTACTTATAAGAAATGATTAAAAAGTCATTTATTCAATAAACATTTATTGAGTCTCTGCTAGGTGCTAGACACTATTCTAACTGCTAACATTATAACAGGGAACAAAACAGACAAAAATGCCTACCTCCACAGAGCTGTTTTTATTGAGGGAGATATATAAGCTTCTACATATTTGGTAAAAAATACACTGTTAAGTCAAATGGTGCTGGAAAAAATAAAGCAGGTAAGGGACACAGAGTGCTGGGGGGGCGGGGTCTTGAGAAAGGAGTGGGGTGGTGGTTTTGGAAGGCCTCCTTAGTGATAAGGTGTCTTTTGCACAGGGGGAAAACCCAGCCTTATGAATATCTACAGGAGGAGTTTTTAGGCAAATAGAACCGCAGAGGCAGAATGGTAGAAATAAGGTCAGAAAGGTGTGATTTTAGGGGGGGAGGACAAGTTCTATATGGTCTCTGTATACTGCTTTAAAGATTTTGTCTTTTACTTTAAATGAGATAGTGAACCACCGGAAGGTTCTAAGCAGTGACGTGACATGGCCTGGCTTATATTCACTTCAGTTATAATGTTAAGAATATACCAGAAAGGAACAAAGGTGGAAGGAGAGACCGGTTGGGAGGTTATTGCAGTATTCTAGAGAGAGTCTAATGGTGACAGGACAAGGATGGAAACAGTTGGAGATGGTGAGAAATGATAGGATTCTGGGTATATTCTAAAGGGCAGAGTTGACAAGACTTGCTGATAGGTTTGATGTTAGATGCAGAGGAAAAGAAAGGGGTTGAGGTTGACTCCAAGGTGTTTGGCTGAGTGGAAGAATAAAGGGAAAAACAATGCAGTCAAGTCTCAAAATTTATTTTTCAAATAATAAGTAACATAGGACGCCCAGAAAGGGAGAGATTGAGTTCATATACTCATTTTAATTATAAATATATTACCATCAAATTGCAGAAAATGGGAAAAAATTTACTCATATTCCCTACAAGTAACATTACCCTAACATAACCACTCATCACTTTGCTATATTTTCCTCCAATCTTTCTTCATACACAACTTTTTATATGTATCATTTAAGAACTACCATTCATTCACTCAACAAAAACTTACCGAATGAAACACTATGTACCAGATTCTGTGTCAGGTGCCGTACCTACATTTATAACCAGAGATAAGTATCGATCAAAGCTCAGAGAGGTCTGGAGTGCCTGGGTGGCTCAATCAGTTGAGCATTAGACTCAATCTTGGCTTGGGTCATGATTTTGGGGTCGTGGGATCAAGCCCTGCCTCAAGCTCCTCGCGCTGGGCGTGGAGCCTGCTTAGGATTCTTTCTTTCCCTCTCCCTCTGCCCCTCCCCTCACTCGGGCTCTCTCTCTCTCTAAAAAAAAATAACACACACACACACAAAAACAAATAAAATACAATAAAGCTCAGAGAGGTTAAGCAACTGGTGCAAGATCACAGAGTTGCCAAGTGGCAGAGCTGGACTGAACTGGATTTATCTCACTTGAGAGATCCTGCTCTCTCCCACACTCTACCCCGCACTTCACTAACTGCTAGTACTCATTAGTTTAAAAACCATAACTCTTAATCACTTCATAACCTATATAACCTTCCATTTTAACAGTACAAAAGGAATATACCACAATTTATTGATATTAATTTTTCTTTATCATAAAAAACATGACAATGAACCATGTCTGCTAATTTAATAAGCAAAAAAATAACTGTTATCTCATTATTTAAATTTATACTTCCTTGATTACAAGTGACTCTGAATGATGATCCATATGCTTGTATGTGACTTCTTCTTTCTATGCTGTGAGCTATCTGTTCCTGCTCTCTGCTCACTCCTACTAGGATCTTCCATTTTTTTCTTAGCAATTTGTATGTGCTCTTTAAATAATGAAGACTTAACCCTGTGTCATAATTACTGCAAACAATTTTTCAGGTTAGTTGTTTGCATTTGTTTTCCTAAAATAAAACCAGTTTCATATCCTTGCTGATCATCAATATCGTACATGATTACTGGAGGAAAAAAAAGGATATGCAAGAAAGAGTTTAGATTAAGTAAAAATCACTTCAAATCCTACCATGCAGAGTTAGCTACTTTTATTGTTTTCTCCTAATCTAATTTTCACTCAACAATAAATTGGGAGCATCTTGTACTCTCAAAAGAATATTGATTACATTATCATTTTTAGTGACTGTTTGGTATTCCATTATAGAGCTTTATCATAATTTAGCCAACCCTCTAATTGTAGACTTTCAGTTGTCTCCAATTTTCCATTGTTATAATTATTCTTTAGTGAACAAGCTTGCCCAACTCATCTTTGTGAGTTTGTCTTATTATCTCACTGAAATACAATGAGTTGAATACAGCTGGATTTGTGTGGGGTATTGGGAAGGTTCTAATTAGTCATCATATTGTCTTAGAAGGGGCGCCTGGGTGGCTCAGTCGTTAAGTGTCTGCCTTCGGCTCAGGTCATGATCCCAGGGTCCTGGGATCAAGCCCCGCTTCGGGCTCCCTGCTCCGCGGGAAGCCTGCTTCTGCCTCTCCCACACTCCCCCTGCTTGTGTTCCCTCTCTTGCTGTGTGTCTCTGTCAAATAAATAAATAAAATCTTTAAAAAAAAAATTGTCTTGGTAAAGTCTCACTGGTTATAACACTGCCAATGCACAAAGCTGATATCTGCTTTTTAAATTTAAGGTCATTTCATTTATTTTTTAAGTTTTTATTCAAATTCCAGTTAGTTAACATGCAGTGTAATATTAGTTTCAGGAATACAATACAGTGATTCAACACTTCCATACAACACCCAGTGCTTATCACAAGTGTCCTCCTTAATCCCCATCATTTATTTCACCCATTCTACTGCCCTGCCCGCCCCCCACTCCCCTCTGGTAACCATCAGTTTGTTCTCTATAGTCTGTTTCTTGGTTTGTCTCTTTTTTTAATTTTCCCTTTGCTTGTTTGTTTCTTAAAGTCCGAATAAGGCTAAAATCATATGGTATTTGTCTTTCTCTGACTTATTTCACTTAGCATAATACCCTCTAGTTCCGTCATTGCAAATGTCAAGATTTCATTTTAAAAAAAACTTTTTTATTATTATGCTATGTTAATCATTTTTTGATGGCTGAGTAGTATTACATTGTGTATATATACCACATCTTCTTTATCCATTCATCAGTCAATGGACATTTGGGCTGTTTCCAAGATTTGGTTCTTGTAAATTATGCTGCTATAAACATCAGGGTGCATGTATCCCTTTAAATTAGTATTTTTGTATTCTTTAGGTAAATACCTAGTAGTGCAACAGTTGGATTGTAGGGTAGTTCTATTTTTAACCTTTTGAGGAATCTCCATACTGTTTTCTAGAGTGGCTGTACCAGTTTGCATTCACATCAACAGTGCAAAAGGGTTTCCTTTCTCCACATCCTTGCAAACACCTTGTGTTTGTTGTGTTTTTTCTTGTGTTGTTGAGTTTAGCCATTTTGACAGGTATGAGGTGGTAACTCATTGTGGTTTTGATTTGTATTTCTCTGATCAGTGATGTTGAGCAGCTTTTCGTGTGTCTGTTGGCCATTTGCATGTCTTCTTTGGAAAAATGTCTATTCATTTCTTCTGCCCATTTTTAAATTGGATTATGTCTTCTGAGTGTTGACTTTTACAAGTTCTTTATATATTTTGGATACTAACCTTTTATCAGATATGTCATTTGCAAATATCTTCTCCCACTCCAAAGGTTGCCTTTTAGTTTTTTTTATTGTTTCCTTCAATGTGCAGAAGCTTTTTATTTTGATGAAATCCCAATAGTTTATTTTTTGCTTTTGTTTTCCTTGCCTCTGGAGACATATCTAGAACGAAGTTGCTACAGCCAATATCAAAGAGGTAACTTACCTGTGTTTTCCTCTAGGATCTTTATGGTTTCAGGTCTCACATTTAGGTCTTTCATCCATTTCGATTTTTTTTTTTCTGGTGTAAGAAAGTGGTCCAGTTTCATTCCTCTACATGTTGCCGTCCAGTTTTCCCAACACCACTTGTCTTTTTCCAACTGGATATTCTTTCCTTCTTGTCAAAGATTAATTGACCATATAATTATGGGTTCATTTCTGGGTTTTCTATTCTGTCCCATTGATCTATGTGTCTGTTTTTGTGCCAGTACCATACTGTTTTGATCACTACAGCTTTGTAATATAACTTGAAGTCCAGAATTGTGATGCCTCCAGCTTTGCTTTTCCTTTTCAAGATTGCTTTGGCTATTCAGGGTCTTTTGTGGTTCCATACAAATTTTAGGATTGTTTGTTCTAGCTCTGTGAAAAAAATGCTGCTGGTATTTTTATAGGGATTGCATTAAATGTGTAGATTGCTGTGGGTAGTATAGACATTTTCACAATATTTGTTCTTCCAATCCATGAGTATAGAATGTCTTTCCATTTCTTTGTGTCCTCTTCAATTTGTTTCATCAATGTTCTATAGTTTTCAGAGTACAGGTCTTTC